AATATTTGGCTGTACTTTTCTTTACCTACTGAGGTACCGTCGGCATCAAAAGTGATAAAAAATTACATATTACCAAAACCTGTTAAAATATTATATTTTATTCAGAAATTCCTGTTTCATTGAGCTAATTCTAAAGTTTTGTTATAGTTATATCTTTTGCTTTACAATTTTCACTACCAAATATTCTATTTCTTTCATCTTTCTAAAGGTTCACTCTAAGTTCTATGATTTTAAAGATTTATTCTAAGCGTGCCCTCTAAGGGATAATACCGCCATTGTAACTGTAATACATATGATAATTTTGTTTATATAAGTACCAAATGTAAAGTATGTATAATAAAGAAAACGTAACAATAACAACCCGTGATAAAAATCCTGGATAGGGGAACCTTAAATAATATGATAAAAAAAAATACACTTGGATAGCTCGATCTAACGAGATTCGAAATCAGATATCTTACGGTATCCAGACTATGTTCCCAGTTATATCACCGCTAGCTTTTACCCGCGACTTCGTGCGCGTGACTAGCATATGTTTACTGGGGATAAAAAGTAGCCTATATCCTTCTCTATCCTGCGTAGTACGTATATATCAAATTTCACAGTAATTGGTTAAGTCGTTAAGGGGTTATCAAGTAACAAACAAACTCGCTTTCACATTTATAATATTAGTATAGAATAGAATAGGTCACCGCTTCCTTTCCCGTGAGTGTCGTAAGAGCCGACAAAGGGAGGGCGAAGGATGGGTAGCGGGGTCCCTTTTAAAACGTCTTCAAAGCTTTACTGCGGTTACCAATCCGCCTGCCAAGCGTGACAACTACTGGCAAAACCCCTCAAGGGAGAGGCTTATGTTTAGCAGTGGATAGGTAAAGACATGATAATGACGATTCCGTCACGTGTAATAACGTTTGAAAGAGTGATTACGAGATCTAATAAATTATAATATCTTTACTGCTTACCCCGCAAGGGACTTGTTTTAAAGATTGATTGTTAGTATTCCAATCGTGGTGAACTGGGAATACACTTGGTTTGGACAGCTGAGAGATGTAGGTTCGAATCCTATTAGATTGAACTGACGGAAGGTAAATTTATCAATTTATTATTTAAGCTTTGATGGTATTCATGGTGCAGCAGTACGCATGTTGTTTTGAGTAAAGACGTCTCGGATTTGGATCTCGGTCGAGTTAATTTAGAAAACGAACTTTTCTAAATTCATCCGAATCTGGGTATACTGGGATTTACCCCAAATTATCATTTTCTTAATAGTCGAGGGATGAGCAGTAGCGTCCCTCCTTGAATATCAACAAAAGCCTAACTGCGGTTGTCAACCTATCTGTTAAGCGTGGTAACCCAGTAATTATCAAACCTCTGTTATAGGCGAGGCCTATGTTCAGCAGTTGACTGTTGACCATACCAGAGGGAGACTTTGTACAAAAGTCGATTGCTTGGGTACCTCTGTCCCATTCGTGTTTCAACCGTGAAGCAGTTGTGTTTGCATGGCTGTGTTTCGGTTTGAAGGGTGGGATATGGCGTGAATTTACTGGGTACAGAGGAATAACATCTGAGTCCTCAGGAATGGCAACGCATGGGGGTATCATGGGCGAAACAGTATACTCTGTTATGTCCATGGTACTGCTCATGTCTATAGGCGACGGTTACCACTTTCCATCAGGTGGGCTGTCAGCTTGTTTGCCATTCTAAGTTGTATAAAAAAAAAAAAAAGTTGACTGTTGACGGTTGATATGATAATGATCATTGTCTGGTCCCTCATATGGTCACAGGATATACTTGTTTGAGGACCAATCGTCTGATTGGTGTGATTGTGTGGCTGTTAAGTATGATTATTAAGAAAATTTATTGAATATAATTGAATATACAATGTAAAGCCTAACTGCGATTGCCAACCTATCTGCTAAGCGTGGTAACCCAGTAATTATCAAACCTCCCTTATAGGCGAGGCCTATGTTCAGCAGTTGACTGTTAACGGTTGATATGATAATGATCATTGTCTGGTCCCTCATAACACAGGATATTCTTGTTTGAACGAATATTGGATTTGTATTCATTACCTAATTATAGCATGAAGTAATAAAACTTGTGTTGCCAACCAACTTTAAAAAGACGGTTCTCAGTTAAGTTTTTTTTTTATATTGGTATCACATACGAGTATAGGTTAGTTATAAACCGATTTGGAAAATTTTTTTTAAGGGTATACTGTCAAATTCGCAGAAATGTTATTATAACATAGTTCCATAGATTTTATTTTGAACTCAGTTCTTTAGATTAGTTTTTAAAACAAAATAACTGCATGTTTTTTAAATCAAAATAATTTTGCTACGGCTAAAGTAGGTTTTTTGTAGGATACCATCTCTTTTTATTCTTTGAAAGGAGTGTTCTTTTCTAAGTAAAAAAATCCTAAAGAAATATGAACTAGTTAATGGTGAAAAATTTCGATTATCCCCTATTTTTTTTTATACAACTTAGAAAGGCAAACAAGCTGACGGCCCACCTGATGGAAAGTGGTAACCGTCGCCTATAGACATGAGCAGTACCATGCACATAACAGAATATACCCAGTATGAGCTACAGTGACCATTTATCATTAGACGGGCTGTATGCTATTGTTTACCACCTTTGTAGTATAAAAAAAAAAAACATATTTACGGTGCCTAGTTTCCTTTTACATTTTTTCTGCAATTTTTATTACAAGTTATGTCAATCCTACAAATGTTACGTGGCAAATTTGTGTGATGCAATAGATGGCGGAACCAAAATGGTAACCCGAGCGGAAAGGGATTGTTAGCAATGGAGTTTGATAGCCCCATTGCTAGCAAAATGCCCTATTATGTCGATTTCCACGTGGTTCCCCCTGGCAACCATCGTGAACAATTCTTGTTAAATTCGTCGCGATGGACTAACTGACCTGCTTCATCCCCACCTATCATCCTTCACTGGTGCCCCGCCGGTGCATACCGATAGCGCGGGTGGGGTAACCATTCCATTATCACCTAAAAAAAAAAATGGTAGCCCCGTCTGCGTTAATGATATACGCTAGTGGGGCACCAGTGGATGATGATAGCTGAGAATGAAAAGACGGGTCATTAGCCCATTGTGATGAATACACCTGGAATTCAGCACGATGATCTCCAGGGGGAACCACGTGGAGATCAACCTCACAGGGTGAGATATGACGTGAATTTACAGGGTACAGAGGAATAACACCTGAGTCCTCAGGAATAGCAACGCATGGGGGGTATCATGGGCGAAACAGTATACTCTGTTATGACCATGGTATTACTCATGTCTATATGTGACGGTTACCACTTTCCATCAGGTGGGCCGTCAGCTTGTTTACCATAAAAAAAGAGTTAGTGACATACTCTGTTCAATCATAAGTCTGTTGCTAATTCCCAGAAGCGAGAACATTTAGAGAGTTGGTTACAACCCTGTGGTTTATTTACGCGAACGTGCCTTCGCGTAAATAAACACCTCGTGAGTTGAAAAGGCCGTCAAAGTTTGCTTTAATTAGGTCTATAAATAACTGAATTATTGAGTTATTCAAGTGATGCATATATGCGGAATATTATATCTCAATCCATACTCAAAAAGGATATATTAAGGTTTCTTCAGGATCAGCAACGCGTACATGACAACCCTAGTGTCGCAGGCGTTCATAGGCTCTCTCTCTCTCTTCGACCTCTTCATTACTGAAGGTCGTGTCCTTGAAAGGTCTCTGCTGCCTCTCTTATGATGTTATTCCATTTTGCACGGTCTTCAGCTTTTCGCAGGGCAGCTGCAATTGACAGTCCCGTAACGGCGGTTACTTGGTCCGACCATCGATTAGGCGATCGCCCGCGTGGTACCCTCTATCTTGCCTACAACCATTAGTTTTTTTTTTATACAATTTAGAATGGCAAACAAGCTGACGGCCCACATGATGGAAAGTGGTAACCGTCGTCTATAGACATGAGCAGTACCATGGACATAACAGAGTATACTGTTTCGCCCATGACACCCCCCATGCGTTGCCATTCCTGAGGACTCGGGTGTTATTCCTCTGTACCCAGTAAATTCACGCCATATCCCACCCTTCAAACCGAAACATAGCCATGCAAACACAACTGTTTCACGGTTGAAACACGAATGGGGTAGAGGTACCCAAGCTATCGACTTTTATACAAAGTCTCCCTCTGGTAAAATTTGCTATATATTTACTACATGGAATGGAGAAGAATATAAGCTAGTTTTTATTTTGATCAGTGAACATCCTGATCACGTGGACGAATCGTACAAAAAAGTTAGTATTATAAATCTGAAAGAGTGTTTGTTTGTTTGTTGTCTCTTGATGACTCAACTAATCGTCACAAAAATTGGCATATACGTACAATTTGGGATGGACAAAGATATGGGATATTTTTTTGTCGGTCAAACAATACATTTAGATCACGTGGGCGAAGTCGCTAGTAAAGATTAGTATCTTTAATGTATTGCAGGGTGTCGGTGGATATAGGTGGCTTAGGACTATTCACGGACGGACGTATGTTGCTCAAATAGGCGACGTGCTGAAGAAGGGGCAAATTAAAAGTACCCGTAACCGGCGAGCGTGTATGAAAAGATTGATGAATGTGGAGGAAGCGAAAGAGGTTTGTTTGAATCGAAGCATTTGGCGTTCCATTGTTTCTGCCTACCCTAATGGGAGACAGGCGTGACAGATATGTATGTATGTATGTAGGACTATTCATTAGTAAATTACCATCTATGTTAAAGGTCTATATTCAACAGCGGATAATCTGAACTAATATTAAAAAGATTTGATATTTTGTTTTTTTTTATGTTATATATTATTACCCCAAAAAATACTTAAATTATTTTCAAAATTCTTTTACTTACAGAAAGCTGCATTATCAGCGTGCATAAGAGCAGCATTTTATTAAAAAAAAATATATTCAACTATCCATGCGAAGCCGAGAAATTATACTCGTTTATTTTTCTTGTTGTAGGAGCTGGCCCAGTCTAACGGCATGACGGTGACCGCTGAACACAGTTTCGCAGACTACATACCTCTGCATATATCTGAAATGGAAAGAATCGTTGACCAAACATATGATAAGACCAGAGGTAAGTTTTGTTTTTAAGGGTCACTCACTCTAAACGTAACATTTTACGAATATTTTTCTTCAACTTAATAACTTATTTTTATAATTGCATTTAACAATTTTTAATTTTATTTAAAAAAAATTGTTTGAAAACTATAACAAAAGTTGTCGATTTAGGGTATGTAAATACTTGAAATGACAACATTGTACAAACATTACAGTACATTGTACAAATGACTTTTGTACAAATTCTCCCTCTGGTAAACTCGACTCTGAAGAAACCTTGATATAACCTTTTTTTAAGAAGCCCATTTAAATTTAACGAGGGTTCTCGTAACAAAGAAGGGCTATTTTACTTATTATTGTTATAGTGGGGCAGTGGACCAGAGCATGAAGTGAGGAAAATATGTAGGCGTTTAGGCACGCATATTAATATAAAGTGTATAGTTTGAATTAGACTGGATTAAGTTGACAGAAGGAATAAAAAATAGGCGTTGTAAAGTATATTACAAGACAGACTTATGTAATTTAAGATTGTGTCAAAAAACCGTCTTCAGTTAAACCCAGTTATTTTGATAAAAAAATGAAACTATTAAACCGATTTTAATAAAATAATTATGGGAACAATCTGCAAGCAAATCGCTTTAGCACTGATGGAGTTATGAGGTAACGAACATAAAAAAATAACAATAGAATCGAGAACTCCTTTTTTGAAGTCGGTTAAAAAAGAGGTTCTTAGCGGCCAGCCGGTAACAATACAATTTCATTATAACGGTTTCTATGTATTATTTAAAATTTTGTACAAACGTCCCTTAAGTAGGTTAGCATTACGAATACTGTGGATTTGAAAATACTTCCGGGAAAAGGGGATAAGACGACGAAAGAGCTGCAAGGTTTATTTCTGGCTCTTAAGTATAATATAATTCGCCTTTTAAATTTACTTTATCTTATCAGTTTATGTACAAAACTCAAATATTATTTTAATTAAAAGTTGTCTCTTTGACAAACGAAATGAAAGGGGAAGTTCCCGTCGTGAGAACAATGGCAAGATAGATAATTCGGAGAGACTCTGTGCAAAAGTAACTTCTATTTCATCTGTACTTCTACCGTGATGTAGCTTTGGGTAGAAGGGTGAAATCATTATCATCATCAGCTCAGCTTTTACCTGTCTATTGCTGAATATAGAACTCCCGCATAGACTTCCATAAGAACGGTCCTGAGCCACCTTTATTCTGATCATGTGGACGAAAAGGTGGGTTTGTAAAGATGTTTCAAATTCTAATTTACTCGACTTCAACTTGATTATAATTAGTGTAGAAATATACGACAATAATCTTAGGTCAACTTTGTTGACCATGACGATGATGTTCATCATCATGTTCTTCATCAATTCCCATCACCACATATCAGCCGTTAACTGTTCACTGCTGAAATTACTCAAATAGGCCTCCCCCATAAGGCGGGTTTCGTCAGTAGTCGCCACTCTTTTCTAGGCGGTTTGGCAACCGCAGTAAGGCTTCTTATGATGGCTTCTGGCTATGTTTTAAAGGGACGCTGCTGCTCATCCCTTCGACCATTAAGTTTCCTTGATCGCTTTTTATGACATTCCCTTGAACACTCAATATGCCTATACATTTTCTCCGGCTTAAAAATATGTAGTCGTTTTATTGTCTTCTTAAATAATCTTAGGATTTTTTGTGATGACTCTGTGAGAATTCATCGTGCAGCCAGTCTTTAAAATCCCCAGAATCCTGCAAAAGACGATATTAGGAAGTCAAACATAAAACACTAAGGCAAGACTATAAATATCGATCTCTAGAAAAGAGCACGTTAACTTGTCTAAAAGAGGTCTCCGGTTCAATATCTAGTTAGTCCAGTTTAGGAAATAATATTATCTACTCGTAAATTGGTTAAGAGTTTGGGCGTTAGATTGTGCTCCCAGATATTTGTTAAATTGTTTTCTATATCACGATATTCCCAAAGACGGTTGACGTCAGGTAGGCGGCCGGTCGTAAAACTATAAGCCAAATCTTTTTATAATATGGATAAAACCATATTAAGCCGACCCCAAATAATAATTGGGATAAGGATAGGAGGATGATGATGTTCTCTATAACACGATATCCGAGCGTAGGGCTAGGCGATTGTACTATGGAATGAAACTTAAAAGAGGAGAACTCGAAATAAAACTTTATACTCGTCGAGGGATTGTTGAAAAAGTTGGTTTGTTCTAATGGAAAAGAAAATAACGGTTTCACAAGAACCAAGCTTTATATTTTATTTCTATTTTCTAAGAATAGATTTATGAGTCTACAGAAGTTATGATGTCGTAACATATGGATGGATAGGTTACTAAGGCGAAATCATAAGAACCCCAGTTTATTACCTCACTCAACCTTACAAACAGAACTTCTGCATTTAACAAGGACACACAATGTACGATTAAGAAGACAGATATAAAGTCGGCTCTCAAGATTGTGCTAATGACTGTTTGGGTATTATATAAATGACTCGTTCAGATAAGAAGTGAGAAGCCATGATAACTGGCTATATTCACACAAACCATTTGTTGATTAGTAAAAGTCCCTAAATGAATCTTGGCTAGATAAAACGTAAGGTTCATTTTATTAAGTGGATCGTAAAAGTTTTTGTTGTGTGCCTTTGTATTTGGGACTGGGACATTTCAAACAAACAAGTTCTAAAGAAGCAACTGCCAGCTGCCAATGCGATGAACAAACTATTTTAAAGAATTAAAATCTTTAAGGTGATTTTACCATGTCAGGTGTCTTTATATCATTACATAAATCTAATATTTATGTAAGGATACTGGATAGCGGATCTGAAAACCGAAACCAATTCAGGCCAAAGTCTAACAAACCTGCATTCTTTGCCAAGTAGAAGAGAAAATATCTTAACATACCTTTCTTGCGGTTTTATCTCACTTGTATATAAATGAAAATTTTTAAAAAAATCTTTCTTTAATTTGAAGATCGCATGTCTCTTTTAATTTGTATGTAAGGTATCACAGATCTGATAGTCTTAATATTACGAAACTAAAAAAAAAAAATATCACATTGCATTGAACTTGTCAGATTTGACTACATCTGTTCAAAGCAATGTTGATGCTTAAATTAAAAAAAAATGTTAAATACATTTCGAAACAACAGGGAACAATTTCAAAAAGAGTTTAAGCTAGCTTTGTTTCTGTACTTTCAAAGAGATTTAGGTAATTTTCTTAAAAAAACTACCTAAAATAACTACTTAACATCCTATTGTTGATACTATGGCTTTTTCAAATAATAGGTGTATTATCTGGACTTAAACTAGCTGTTACTACGGCATAGCCCGCATACTTTCGATTAATACCATAATCAGATAAGATGCTCAATGTTCCCTGAAAGAAATCCTTCTAAGAGATAAGTCCGCCTGAGTACTTTGAACTTTAGAAAACAAATTAAAAAAAGAAGGGGAAGTCAATTGAGTTGTATTTTTTGTTTGCTTTTGTGTCTGTTACCTCATAAGTGTATCTGTTATAAACCTATTTAGAAAATTTTATCTGAAAGGATACACTTACAAATACAAAGCCGGTTAAGTAGTTTATTTTTTAGATCAAAATAACCGGTTTGGTCACAATTGAAGTTAGTTTTTTATTGAGAGTACAATCTTTAATTATTGCAGGACAAAATGTATTTATTCGATTTTAACAAAACCTCGATCTTTGTTTAGAAACCTAGGTATCATGAATTATGTAAGTATCTATCTGCAACAATATCGTAGAGGAGCAACGATGTAGATTTAGAAACCTTGTCACGATCTGAAAGCAGGTTAGATTTATTTTTGCGATCAGTTGATCCAGAGAGAGAGAGAAAATCGGAATAGATTATTCAATGGGAACAAAAATCTTTCTTCGGTACGCTCCAAGTGCTTCAATAAAGATTTTCGTAGAAATACGCTTTCTGTAATTACTAACCCGATTTGTGGTTAAAACTAGAGGTTAATAGTCAAAGAGCTATATTGAGATTCAGTCACTGACTTTGTTTAACATGGGTCGTTATAATATTTTTGCCTATACCATATCATATCAGCCGTTAATTGTTCACTGCTAAACGTAGGTGTCCCTCTATTGGGGGGTTTTGCCAGTATTTGCCACGCTTGGCAAGTGAGTTGACAACCGCAGTTAGGCGCTGGAGATGTTTTAAGAGAGACGCTGCTGCCCATCTCATACACACAGGAAAATTTCTAAAAATTATTGTTTTGCCATCTATTGGTTTTATTAAGATCTCTCATATATTTTTTTCTTAAACTTTTATATAAATTGTAATTCGATAATGTCTGTACATACATGATATGTACAGATATCAAGTTACAATTTTATTAAATTAATGAGATTGCCTAATATTTCTTATTAATATTATCTTATTAATAGTAGGATAACATGTTTCCTTTATATAGAGAGATCTGGGGGTCTACCATGGAATGAAATCCGAAATTTCGGACTCAATTTTGTATTTTTATTTATACAGAAATTGGTCCAGTAAATGAAGCTTTACATTTAGTTTGTCATAAATCCGACCATAATAGTAAAAAAAAAGCAATATTTTAACATTTAAAAATTTTTAAGCGTTAATTTATTTATTTATTTAACACTTTATTGCACCAACATAACATGTTTTGTTAAAACAATTTTCAATACGTATAGTGAAGTACAAAAGGCGGTCTTATTACTAAGCAATCTCTTCCAGACAACCTTTGGGTAGAAAGGATTAAAGCATAAGTAGGTAGGTGGCGCGTTAAAAAAGATAGATTTGTAAAAAATAATATCTGTGACAGCGTAATCATATATATACATAAATAAACACATACAACCAAACATATACATATATCTACATACACATACACTTATAAATATATATACATACATATACATATATACGCATAAATACATACAAATATACCATATTAATACACATATATATAACACACATAAAACTGGAAATACGTAGGACTAAGTGATTATAAGGA